AAGCACCACGCACGCACAATCGGTTCTTTTTAGAGCCACTATATGTACAAAATCCGACCGAACAACCTTATCGTGGTGTACATTGGTTAACGCTAATGCCGGCGGCAGCAAGCAACATTTGTTTGAACAATATTTTTGTACAACAAATACCTGACGAGTTATTTGAAGTCGTCACGTTAAAAAACTCACCCTGTAGAACCGCTCAAAAGTATTTTCCTTGCTTGTTTAACAAGAAATGAAGTTGGATTTAAAAAAATACATTATATATACTTCTAAGGTATGAAGCTTTAATGTAATCGTAGAACAACAATAATACTGGACTACGTTACCTGTTGACTTAGGTCCTGATGTAAACTATGCATATTGGAATAGAATCAATGTTCTAATTACAATCATATATTTAACATGATCGATTTACTACATTTAATATTTTACTTATCTTATGTTAATGTGAAAATTAACATTTTTTATTTATTTAGTTACTCGAATGTATTAAAAAGCTTCACTGTTGTTTACATGGTGTCAATAAAAATATGGGACACTTTCACAGTGTGGATTCTATACGCCAATCGTAAATGAAATGAATGACGAAATTGCGCGTAAAATATGTTTGGCGCGAAGAGTTATTGTAATTGAGATACGCGCTTTTTAACTGTTTCACGAGTTGGTTTCATTCATTTCATTTTATTTAATTTTGTAGGCATCGGCACGTGGCTTTGCTGTGCCGACGGTGGCTTGTGTGTGTGTGTGTGTGTGTGTGTGTGTGTGTGTGTGTGTGTGTGTGTGTGTGTGTGTGTGTGTGTTTCTCGCCATTTTATCATGGAAATACCGTAAAGGCTCCGCGAGAGTTTGAAACTCGGGACTGGTTTAAAACAAATCTATTTTTTGCCCGAAGTCCGAGCTTCGGACTTTCCATAAATGAAGTGCTTGACGGAGGTTCCATTGCCTGCCCCCATCCTCCCTCCATTCTGCCCCCTCCCAGTGGTGGAAATAAAATAGAAACTGTCACGTGAAACTTCGTATCCAACTCTCATAGAGCCGTTACTATATTCGTAAACTTGCACTCACGACTCATGACGTCCTACACGTGAATATGTGACGTATTAATGTTACACAGATCTTTTGATCATCCAACAAACAATCGCGTGTGTGTACTGCATTGAAGCTGAATAGGCGGGATCGTAATCAGATGAACGCCTGGAAAGAAAATCGTCTGAACGTTTCCCGGAACGGTATGGCCGTTTGAAGCACTAATTACGTAGTATTATATGCATCGAGCGCGTCCAATTTGTACAAAGGAGCATGCAAATCCCAGGAACGTGCAACTGCTATGTATATACATGGGTTGTAGTTTCCCGTTTATCGTGGCTTCTCGACTGAAAGCCTCCATCATTCTCTCTCTCTCTCTCTCTCTCTCTCTCTCTCTC